ATAACTCTAACTAAAGTATAGTGAGAAATAAGATTGAATAGAAATTCAGTAACTAATATATATTTTGGCATTCTTCTCAGTTCTGAATATAATTTAATTATTTGTAAAATAAATTATTCAAAATAATTGTTTATTATTAATTTTCTGTTACTATTCCTTCTTTTTAAATAATTAGAACTACAGATTAATTTTAACTATTTGAGGCAATATTTAATTACAGTGTCTAATAATGGGTTCCTAAAGTATTTAGCATATAAAATTTTACAGATCACTTATGTTCTTTTTTGAGGGACAAAATTCATAGCTCTTTACTTTAATAGGGACAAAAGTCAGGAAATGTTATAAATCAATAATTTGGATAATTGGGATTAAATATGAATAGTTTTTTTATAATGTTTCCTAGTGAGAGATATTTGACTTTTGTTCCTGTTTTCCCTTTTAGAAACCCATCTTTAGTAGTGGCAGACTTTTTAATAATTTATACAATTTTAGCAGCAGACATATTTTTTTTTTAATATTTCTATCATATGATATCTATCATCTATAAGGTCATTTTTATATCCTATTAATATGTATGTATTAAAAATTAAAAATTTTTTTTATTTAAATAGAAAAATAAATTAAAACAAACATATTTTATTAATGTATAGTATGACATAAATATATTTTAAATAGTAGTAATTAATTTTTAAAATTATTATAATATAATATTTTTGATTATCAACTTAATTTTGTACAAACTCTATATATATTGCTTGACTGGAATAATGGAATTGAAGATTTTAATTTGAATAAAATATTATTTTTTTATTATCTAAAAAATTTAATATCCATCTTAATAATTTTATAATTTTTTTTTGTTTTAATAATATAACTATTTGAAGAAAAGAAATAGTTTATATTAATTATTTTTCTTTCTTTTATTAATAATATTATTGAAACATATTATATAATTAACAAAAACTTGTTTATATTTCACTATTAATATATTTTATATTAGTTAATTACTTTTTACTTTAGTAAATAGGTTTGTAATACTTTGATATTAATTTTTATTTTTTTTAAAAAAACTTTTTTCCTATGGATAAAAAAGTATTTCTTGACTTTTCTTAATTATTAGAAGTAAAGTTTTTGTTTGAAAAGAAATATAACCAAAAAAGAAAAAATAAAGAAAATTTTTAATATTGTTTTTCAAGTTGTTTTAAGAAAAGTTATAAGATTTATTAATATAAAAGTATAAAACTTTTTGTAAAATAGCTTTTTTGATATATGTAATTGAAGAATTGATAAAAATAATTAATTAATATAAGTTTATTTATATTTTAACAATAATTGATTTTACATTAATTAATTTTTTTTTAATAAGAATTATACTATTTAAAAACTTGAAACAAAAATTACAGTTTTAAAAGAATAGAAATAGCAAATAAAAAAATAAGTTTTTTTTTATTATATATTAATTTATTGTTATTTATTTTAAAGATAAAAGAATTTTAAATACTTTACAATTAGTACTTTTTTTTAAAAAAATTTTTTTGTTGTCAATCTTAAAGATATTATATAAATTTATTAACTAATGAAAATCAAGTTTATGGTAAAAAATTTTATAAAATAGAAGAAATGATAATAATAATTTCTGAAGATATTCTTTAAGTTGTTTTAAAGATAATAATATGACATTAGTTGTCAAATAGTTAAAATTTTTGATGATTATCTCTTTTATACAGTATATAATTAAAGAATTAGCAAAAAGAGTTATTTTTATAATTTTTTTTTCAGAATGAGTAAAAATTTTTTATACAGTATATTATATTCAAGTTTTTTTTTTTTTTTTATCTTAACAGCTAAGTTTTTACATACCTTAAAGTAATTTGTATTTCTTAATATCATTCTTTTAAATTTTTGATAAATATATTAGGTTTTTAAAATAATTAGCTAGATTCAAGATAAATTTATTACTATTTATTGATCTTTTATAACTTTAATCCATTTTTTTTATTTAATCAAACATTATATTAACTAGTAAAAAAAAAAAAAAAAAGAAAATAAATTTTTTCTTGCACACGATATATCATGTCATGGTTTTTTACAATAACAAATGAACCGAATAGTTTATAGTTTAATATTTGCAAGATAATATTTATTTGGAATTTTATTCTATTGATATTATAATTCATAATTGAACCCCTAGTTCAAAAGTATACTGTATATAGGTATAAAATTTTATTCTATGATAAATATTTAACGGAAGAAATATTTAACACAATCTTCAAGAATTGACCAAAATTTCTTTTTTTTTTTTTAAAAAAAAAAAAAATCCAATCGTTATTAACCAACATTAATATAAACCTGCAGAATATAATGATCTATTGTTTAAGATTTTTTAAATTAAATCGTTAGTAATGTTTAATTGAAAAAAATTTTTTTTTGCTTTAATATGTAGTAGGTTACAAAATATTTTTCAAGGATAAAAAGAATGTAGTAATATTTTTGAAAAGTATACAGTGATATTTTGCGACAAGAAAAATAAAGGTAATATGTACAGGTAAAAAATAAAAATCATAAAATGTTTATTATTTACAAGGAACTTTATGATAAAAAATGCTTTAAAAAAAAAAAAAAAAATCTCAAGAATTACATTTACATATCTTTATTTATTTTCACGTTATCATTCAATCGCCGCAATCGTTTCGACCAATAGGAAAGATATTAAAAAAAAGGGTCTATAATGAAGCCAGATTACGATTATTGACGTGAGCTCGTGACTGCAGCCTGTGAATAGCAATAATGTTTGTATCCAAAAACAAAGTGTTCGAATTTCAACTTATCGAACCTATGGAGAGGTTATCATCTTCATCCCTATCGCAATGCACAAAAAAAGCTTTAGAGCAATAAAGGACAGGAGGCCCTTATCTCCTGAAAGTACGTGAGTGTATTGTTTCAATTTTACTAATCCGAGAACGGACTTAAGTTTTTTATTCCACTATCTTTTGCCATATTAGGATTAAATATGGAAAGTCAGAATTCTGTATGCATAATCAAAAACAAATTCTTAAATTACAAGTGGTACAATCAACCAAATCTTTAATTGTTTTATTTCCTTTTACGACCGTAAAATGAAAGTTCACGCGAGTCATGTAAACTTTATTTCTTAACAAATGCTTATCTGATATCACACTAAATGAATTCTACAAAAAATGACATGCTCTTTAACAAATCGCGCGCATCATTTTATATGCAACTGAAAACGAAGCGGTGCTATAGTCCTGCTTAACACAGTGCAGCACAAGGAAACGTATGTGGATTGAAGTTTCGCGCGTACACAACTAGTATTTCTACTTTGTACACATGATTTTCAATAATATGGTTCACGTTATTATACAGTTCATTTATTTTTATTAAGCGAAAGGTACGCTAATACTTTTCGAGCACTCACAAACTCTATAAATTATTTGTTTAATAAATTTTTAAGCACGTGATTGTTCTACATAATCAATTGCATCAACATCTCCGTTTGTTCTCTTGATTAATCCGATCCCCAAACATTTGTGAATAATCACGGTAATTATAAGGGTCATGATAAAGGACCATGATAATCCCACAAGGGAAGAAACTAACTGTTTGAATAATTGAATTCCATTCCCATTAATAACACCACCGTCGATCACTTGTCCGTTGAGTAACGCAATATTTTTGTCGGCGAATATACCGGTTAAAATGTTTCCAACGAAACCACCTACTCCATGAACAGCAAAAACCTGAAAATTATCAAAGTATAATGACCGAAAGGACCTATGACTATCCAGTCTGCTAGCCATTCCGCAAATAAGCCCGGCAAGTACTCCAAAAATCAATGCAGCATATGGTTTAACATAACCAGACCCCGGAGTGATCGCGACTAGTCCCGCCAATGCTCCAGAGCAAAAGCTAGCGGCCGATAATTTTGGTCCATCTACTAGATCGACAGATAAATAGTAGTCTAAAAACATCCAAGTCAGGCCACCCGCTGATGCTGATATATTGGTTACAATACAAGCCATGATTGCTCTCAAATTTGCGCCTAGTGCAGAGCCGCCATTAAACCCGAACCATCCAAACCAGAGAAAAAGAGTACCGAGTATCACGTCCGTTGTGTCATTGGGTAAGTTTCTTCGCACTTCTGGGTCAGTATTTACTACTATACAATACGCCAGAGCGGCCGCGCCTGAAGAAATGTGAACTGGTGTTCCACCTGCAAAATCAAGTACTCCCCATGCGCCAAGCCATCCGTTATTTGACCAACACCAATAAGCTATGAAATCATAGACAACCGTGGACCAGACAAAAATGAATACGAGAGCAGGAATCGTTCGAATCCGTCCTGATACCGAGCCAAACACCATCGCCGGTGTGATCGCAGCAAACATCAATTGGAAGACAGCGTGTGCAAGTTTTGGTATCGCTACGTAATTTACGTTACCAGTTGGGCTCGTGCTATTATGAACAATTATTTCCGATATATCTTCCAAGAATAATGCATCCTTAAAATTACCAATAAATGAACCTCCAGTACTACTGAACGTTATGCTATAACCATATAAGAGCCACTGAAAAATAAAATTTACGTGTTTTTAGGCATATTCGTATGTTATATATGCAGCATGTTTCTTGAAAAAAATATGCATGTAAAGTTTACGTACTTGAATAGATACAACTGGGATTGCTAAGAAACCTAACATAAGAGCGGATAATGCATTGCCTCGCGGCGACATTCCACTATAAATATAACCTATTCCCGGAATCATAATCCAGACCAAGCACGTAGAGGCCAAAACCCAGGCAACATCGCCTTCATTATAGCTTCCGCTCGTAGAATCTGCCATGGTTCAATGTTTTGCGAAGAAAAGGAACATAATATGTGATTACACGCACACTAATTTATATTTCTTTCTATCTGTAATGATAATTTGAATTCCGGAATTCTGCGTACGCACGTACGACTGTTATCGCATACGCCCCTTACAATGTCTGCTTGATTAAGAAAGCGAAACAAAGAAGTATTACAAATTTGCCCGAGTCAGCGGTTACTTATGCGACCAAGGATTTTTCCCATTTGACGCTTGCGTAACCTCGAAACCCGTTAAATTCTCAATTACATATATACGGAGTGACTTATTTAAGCATACCCTAGGCAAAGGATGAACTCAACTGAGGACGAAAGAAGTAGTGTCGCTAGTGATATTACCAACGTTCACGAAATTGCTAATACCGACGACTTACCTGTGTATGCGAAAAGTCACACAAATTTTAAAATTTATTACGTGAACGGCAGTGATGGATTTCAGAGAGGAGAACTAGGCTTATCAAATAGTTATTTGGAGGGAATTCTACATTTCGGTTATGATAAAAATATTAAAATAAAATCGGTGAATCTTCATTTTAAAGGTGTCGAAAAAGTGGAAGGAATTGAACCCGGACCCCGAGGTGGAATGCGCAACTTTTCCTGCATTCGTGTTTTGGCTGAGAGACACGAAAAGATTGAATTCAAGAAAACTGAACGTACGATTAAAAACCGTGCATTTAGATTCAAACTGCATTCAAATCTATCTAGCTCATTTAATCTGGAGGTCAATCCGGAAAATGGCGATTCTATGAAAGCACAAATAAGTTACACTCTCACCGCAACTGTTCATTCCGAAAAAAGTTTCGCCATTGGCAGCAGAGCAGACACTATTGAGGTCAAATGTCCATTAAGACAAATATTATCTTATTCTCATACCCTTCCTCTTATGAGACTGGAAGGCACGCATTCTCCGACAAATCAACCGCTTTTCACCTATTCATTTGATATTCCTGAATACCTCGGCCTCGGAACAGAAATCTTTATTCCAATGAAAATCAGACTTCTTAAGGCCAATGTCAGAATTTTAAGGATCGATATCTCCCTAAAGACATATGTAAAGTTATCATCCGAAAATTCGGAAAGGGCTTCTAAAGTGGAAGAACACATTTTAACTTCGGACGGATTCAATTCACCTACCGGAAATAGAAACATAGTTTTACAGGAACTTCCCATATTCATTCCGGATAACTTGGACGTTACTTATTTCGGTACATACATATCCATCCAAAACGAACTTGACATAAAATTAATGATAGCCGGAAAAGGTCTGGATTTACACAAGACTGTACCTGTAACAGTTACGACAGTTAAAAGACTGGATCGAGTGGTCTCTCCTTCAGGAAATTCTTTATCCGATGTACAATCATTTCAGGATTTTGAAAGCGAGCAGGGATATTCACGTCACAACAGCTTGAATAGTTCGGACTCTATGAACGATACAAGAAGTTATTCTAGAGAGGGAAATAATACGCCACACACCGAATATACGTCAAGAAGTAACAAGCCACGTTCGGTGATTTCTCAGATCTCTTCTAAACCAGGGGTAACTGAAGCGGCTGAAAAACAGGGCAACTAATTTTTTTTTAAGAAAAAATTTTGGAATGTTAAAATTATGTACAGTATATTGATCGATTATACTTACTGGTTTAAAAATATCATCAAATAAATATTCTATCGATAATGGATTCCAGGGCCTATTTCGTAGTCCGTCCGTCTTCTTTCGAACTTTTATGCACTATACGTACGCGTTTCGAACTTATGAGTACCGTATTTTTTCTGACAGCTAATCACAAATTTTGAATAGATGGGGAAAACAGAGGTGACTGTCGTATGTTTGCAAGTGAATCTCTTTTACAGAGATCTCCGGAATAATAGAAATTTTCAAACCAAGCTAGATTTTCAGACTTTATCCTCCGTGGACATTAATATACAGATTATTTTACGCTTCATCAAATATTATAATTTGGCATATTAATTGTTGTTTAGTACTGTAAAAATGATTTGAAATTTATAACAATTTACGTAAATGCGGTAACGTATTTTTTTTTTTTTTTTTGCGCTTTAGAACTCGTACTATCTATTTGAAGTGCTCTATTTCTTTGTTTTAAGACTATCTATCACATTGCGTATTGCAGTCTTCTGAAATAGGCTTTAATTATTAATCACTGTAAATAAATTTCGTAATGTTGGACTTTATCAACAATTTCAAAGTGTTGATACTATAGAATACGTAGAACGATTGAAATTTAAAAATATCAAACAATTCTTGTTAAATAATAATATATAATATTTAAACTTATATACTGTATATATTTTTAATTTTTAATGAGCATCTTTGATGTAATTGTATATTAATTGGTAAATTGTGCTTTACTTTCCCAACAAACATTACTGTACATTAAATTCTTTTTAATATTTGTTTTTTTAAAAAAATATTTTCAAAATTTTATATAAATTCATTCTAAAGAATAATGTTGGCGGAAAAATTTTATTTAAAACATTTAAGAAATTACAATAGATTTTTTATTCTTATTTTGTAAGTTTTTTGTTAGCTTTTGTATATTGATTTTTATAGTTCTTTGTCTTATTTTATTTGTTATTTATTTATTGATAAATTACTTGGAAATGAATAATAAAATTTTATTTATAGATGTATTGTTAGAATAAATTGTTTTTAATTCAATTTTAAATTTTTAACTATATAATTATTACATTCTCTTCTTAATTTATAGCTTTTTAGTCCGAAGAAGCGCG